AATTTATTTCCCCCATCTTTTTGCCCAACTTATGTAGTACAATTTGCCCAACATTTGCTCGCTTTCACTTGGGGGGTAACCCTCCCGCCTTGTACTCACATGAGCACCGTATACCAAATTGAAAATATGACTCTCCTTTGGGGAGGTACAACAGCTGTCGACCTTCCTCCAATGTGACCCTTATAATAGCTCATTTATATATCGAGGGAATGACTGTATGTCACAGAAAATTTATTGATCAAATAACAGTCGACAGGATCTTTCATAGTGTAAATGAGTAATTTTAAACCTTTAAGTCATAGACTTGCTCCAAGTCTCTCTTTCATTGTCATATAGTATCTATCCATTATAGTGTACATTACATGACGTAGCACGGAGGGGCGGAGCGAGAGACTTGTACGGAGGGGTGGAGCGAGAAAGAGAAAATGCAAGACTTGCTTTAAGTGTTTTCTGTCAGCGTTTATATGTATTGATCTAGCACAGTGTAAATAACATGAGTTCTATTAGAGTAAATAATACAGAAAGAAATTGAAGGAAAACAATTAAAGCAAGTCCTGCATTTTCGGTCCAGTTTGAACCATAGGTTTGAACCAACATTTTCCGAAGTTGACATGTACTACGTCATGTAATGTACACTATAGTGGATCGACACTACATGACAATGACAGAGAGACTTGGAGCAAATCTATTTAAGTCATGGAATGTGTTCTACTTTTTTTACTCTTTCTAATGCCAGACGATTTTACATATCAAAGGGAAAGTGATGACATTCGATGGGTGAAGGATTGATTATACCAACCCATGCAGAAACTGATTATTGCATATATTTTGAATTCCAAATAATCAACCGCACTCTGTTTTCAGAGTAATAGGCTACGTACACCAAAGTGAATGTTTATCGACACGTTTTTTAAAAAAAGCTAAAGACACCAATTTCCAGTATATAGTACGTATATTCTTGCTGCATGAGCATGTAGTTACTACCTGTATGTGCAACGTTCGTGTTCTGTATATAATGAAGTAAATGAACTGTTCATTACATAAAGACAGTGTTTTACTTCCTGGTATATTTTCAGTTGGCAACGTTCAACTGTAATTTTCGAACTATATTCTAAATTACAGTCTATAATAGTGTGCATAGATGTATCCTGCATACAGGTATCATGGTTTAAGGAAATAAATTTAATCCCTGAAGGCTGAACAAATTTTATTCACGATGACGATGTTTACAAATGCTTGAGAGTTTAGAGTCTTCCAATAGGGGAGACCTAAATCGTAAGTAACTTCGACTGGAGTGTGGAAACGGTTCTAACAAACCAGAGACAGAGTGAAGCTGAGTGAGGAAACATGTTTGATATTATATCTGCTTGCAATAGAATTCAATGCGTATGATTTCACAATAACATCGATCAACAGTCTATCATAAACCATCATAAAAAATATGGCATATAGTTACATACCTGCTACAAGTAGTATTCTCGTAAAATTGGCCACTAAAAGCGCTATAATATCGTGTGTTGTCTTGTATGGTGTAAAGTTCTTCCGGCTTTGATAACTGATTGAAACTTGATATGCAAATATGAAACACACTACCTGCCTCCTGTGGATAGATTTCTAAAGTTATGACTAATTCATGAATTCGCGTAACTTCAGTTGGTGTTTTTGGCTCAGTTTGTGCGTGACTTTGCATGCATGTACGTTTGTGTTTTGTATGTCAACTGAAAGATTACAAACAGTTTAATACACAAAATAACTGAAAATCTGCGGAACAAATAGTTATTAGGCCAAGAATAAATTATCTGGATGACTGGACTGAGTATACTATATGTATAGGCCGGTTATTGCTCTCAAAACAGATATGAAATGACCATATCATATTATTTTGTTTTGGTGACCTCGTCGTAGTTGACTCGATTGTACTCGTGTTGAGAACGAGGTACTAGGAGTCTAGCTTATTCTTTGAAAGTCGTCACTAGTAAACAGCATAAACTTAAATCTATAATTAACCAGTTAAGATTTAACCGGCTTAATCTCTTTAACCAGTTTTAATCTTTAATCGTTAACCATTCCTGTAAATTTGACCACCAAACGCTATATTATGTTTTTTTTTCTGTTTGGCGTAAAGTCCTTCCGGCTTTGATACTAATTGAAGCTCGAATTAAAGCTTGATATGCAAATATGAGGCACGCTACCCCTGTAAATAAATTTCCGAAATCTGTACGTCCGCATAATTAAATCATTAATTTATTCGGATAACTTCGGTTTAAAACTTTTTAATCAAGGTATGTTTTCACCTCGGTTCGTTTGTGTGTTTTTGTGTGCTTGTTCGGCTGTCAGGAAGATAAGCTAAGCCAATTAAGATGATACGATCAAATTTTGGTTGAACCTGGGTTAGTAAATGTACGAGATTATAGCTCTCTATGTCCTCTATATGAATGTTCTACAATTTGAGAAATTATTTGGGAATGAGTTATTTTCATTAAGTTGTGTTTGAACTTATATATTGAGAACGTAAGATTTTTCAGTTTAGTTGGCAGTTTATTCCAGTTTTAACTGCATGGTAGCAAATTCATGATTCAAGTTAAAGATTGGTAGTTGTCCTCCACATCTCTGCTTTTGCTCAACTGCGTGTAAGTAGAGTCATCGTCATTTGCAACGTCATTGCTTGCAGCATTCACGCTCAACGATTGATAATTATCTTCTGTGTTCATTTTTGAAAGATCAAGCTCTTGATAAGTTGTATCAACTTCAGTTGTTTTTGGTTCAGGGTTTCGTTCAGGTTTTCTGTTGCTAAACCAACGACGACGAGAACACGAGGCAATGTAGGAAAAGAGAATGCCAAGAATAAATCCAGACACCAACGTCACAACGATATGCCATACTACAACAGTCGTCCCATTATCAGTGTTGTCATATGTATTGCCTGAACGAAAATATTTAAACTGAAAAAAATGAAAAGAACGCCATGCATAAACGTTTTGCTAAGAGCATATAGAAATCGATTTGTTTATAATGGTAGTCTCTAATGACAAAACATGTTGTTCATGTTTCTTACAGCTTCAGTAAATAAGTTTAAATTGTTTAGTTGCATGGGTGATTCGTACTAGAAATATATTTTGCTGTGGTCTCAGAAGTCCAGGGATGTATCGGAGCTCGAGATACGATTGGACATATAATTTATACACAAATGTAACATACACAAGTGCCGCCCCGAGTGATGCGCCAGGGAGAGGGCAAAGGTGGCAATTTTTCCCAGATTAAAGGGTGCCA